GATATCACATGATAAATAGTATGAATTCACAGCTCTGATTCATACATACCCAAATTGTGAGTTGTCAGCTAAGATTTCCACCCTCCCTCTCTCGCCTTTGACAAAGCAGGATGCCTCCAATGCAGAGGAGGCTGCTAGGCCTTGTACTGTCTTCCTTCCTCTTAGGTTTCCGCTGGCAGCTTCCACACTTCATACCCATCACATTGCTCCCCTCCACCACCATATTAATTCAAAGGGAGTAAGATTTTCATATTGCAAATTTGTAAGGTTTTCAAAAGCAAGCATTGAAAACTGCGTATTTGAAATGCCTTCTAACACATTGTGTCCGATCTAGTCTACTCATAAATCAGGGAGATCCAAGAGCAGCTTTTTGTTTTAAGGGGCAAAGTGAAAATTTGAAATCTCATTACTGAGTATAGAACCAAGAAACAGTTAATTCTGTTTCATTAATGCACAATCCAAATTTGTGATTCTGTGGTTGTTTGTTTGCCTGGTACAAGGAGTTTGATGAGCATCTGGGATACATCATGTGTCCCTAGTTGGTGTGAGGTCCTTCATGCCTCAATTGTTTACACAATGCGCTGTATAAGTGATACAAGCTAATACAGAGGTGGGGAGCCTTTTTAAAAAGCTGGTGGGCCACAGTGCTAATATAAATTAGCTGGTGCGTCACACCAGATAATGTATTTTGGCTTGAAAGCACTCTAAATAGATATATCCTCTTGTGTGTGTGTTGATTTATGGCGACCCCATGAATTTCATAGGTTTTCTTAGGTGAGGAATGCTCAGAGGAGCTTTTGCAAATTCCTTCTGCTGAAATATAGCCAACAACACCTGGTATTTGCTGCTTTACACTCCCAGAGAAATTTGGATTTAGATGCACTATTAACTCAGAGAGATTCCACATTGCACAATTGTTGCAGTTTCATCCCATTTATGACAGCCGTCGCTGGCATTTTTTATTTAGTGAGGTGCCTATACTCCTCTATGAGAAAGCAGTAGTGATATATTCAGTAGGGAATCCTCACCAGACTACAAATTCCAAAGCTAAATATTCTCATCCACCTTCTTCAGATCCCTGAACTTGCTACCAAATCCAGTTAAGCCCAGTTTTAATTTCAAAGTAGTATCTAACTGGTCCAAGAATTTATCTGCCTTAAGAATTTGGGATGCCGGACTGGGGAACCTGTAGCTTGATTGTTGTTGAAATGTTGCTCTCATCAGTCTGGCTACTTATGAGGAATGGTGGGATTAGTAGTCATCAACATCTGGATGGCTTCCCTTGCTATGATGGATTCATGACACTTTCAATAGCCAAGACTTTTCCCTAAAATCATGAGAAATGTGGTTTGCTAAGAATTCATTCTTACAGATTCTGAGCTTATAATTACAAAGGTATAATTCCATGCGGAGGTGAAATGAGGGAGTCCCTGTGATACAGAATGGTAGACTTAAGTTTGTAGGGTTCAAATTCTTTTTATGTGCCTTCAAGTTGTTTCCAATGGATAGTGACCCTAAGATGAACCTGGCAATGAAATCAGTACTCAGCTATAAAACTCACCAGGCCAGTCTAATAGGGCAAGTCTGTTGTTAAGTCATCATTGTTGGGCATTTGCCAAGGCCTCCTCTTGGGCCAAGAGAACCCAGAACTCTGAGTTTGGCCAAGACCCATTGCTGATTTTGGCTGTTTACAAATGCTGATTTTTGGCTGTTTACAAATGAGCAATTGGAGAAAGTTCATAATTCTTTTCTGGCCACCTTCCCCCTTTCCTTCTTGAGACTGTTTCACTCTGTCTGTCTGTCTAGTTCAGTGGTTCTCAACCTGTGGGTCCCCGGGTGTTTTGGCTTACAACTCCCAGAAATCCCAACCTGTTTACCAGCTGTTAGGATTTCTGGGAGTTGAAGGCCAAAACATCTGGGGACCCACAGGTTGAGAACCACTGGAGTTGATCAAATAGATCTCAATACTGATCTCCTGCCATAGATCTCAAGGTGGCATCCAGTAAAACCAGCTGTGAACAACGTAAAAATAAAATATTTTTTAAAATGCTAAAATAGTATTAAGCAATTTAACAAATTCAATAATATTAAAACTGAATAAAATATTTGAAATAAATTAAAAACAACATGTTTGGGGCAGGGGTTGTGGTCAACCCAAGCCTTTGTGGAATACCCCCATTGTATAGGCTGTAAAATCTTTAGGAAACATCACTGATATATAGCCCCAAAACCTGTAGGGAACTGTCACATCGTGTAAGGAACAGCCATACTGAGTAGCCCCCAAAGATCCTGGCTTCATCTTCCCTCCATGTTTTTAAACTTGGTGTAATGAGGGAGGGAGTTGGTTTCAGAAGGAAAAGGCGTTTTAAGGGACATGGAAGAAAAATGTATTCCATGTTAATGTCTGGGTCTGGAAGGAATAGATCTGTGCTTGCACAAGATGACAGCTTTGCCTGAGGCAGAATGGAGGTGAGGGTTGGGTGAATATGTGGATCGGGCCACACCTGGTATTGGGGCACAGCATATTTTTGTGTCTCAGCATATACATTTCCTTGGGTATCTGTTGAACACAGGTCTGTGTATCTTATTAATAACAAATCATTTTAAAAAATCAAAGACAAATAAATCTGTCAAAACACACAGAGCTTCTATCAGAAAAATAGCTAATAACTCCAGCATTGGATCAGGTTTGCACTGTGTTGTGTCAAGTACAGCAAGCAATCTTTTCCCCAATTCTAGGTTTTTTTCTTCTAAAATGGAAGTGGGGAACTTTGGGTGGTTCAAATGTTAATGAACTGATGTAGGTTGAGTATCCCTTATCTGAAATGGCTGGGATCAGAAATATTTTGGATTTTGGATCCCCCCTCGGCCAGATTTTGGAACACGTGCATATCCATAATGAGATATTTCGGAGATGAGACCCAAGTCTAAATATGAAACCCATTTATGTTTCATGTATTCCTTATGTATGTAGCTTAGAGGGCAACTTTATATACAATATTTTAAATAATTTTGTGTACATTGAACTATCAGAAGGCAAAGGTGTCACTAGCTCAGCCATTAATGTGGACAGTTTTGGAGCATTTTATCATTACAATTTTATCATTGGAGCATAGATAAAGGATGTTCAACCTGTACTCTGGTAGTACTTTGCCACTGGCCTAACTCACTAGAACTGAACAGACATGGTATTGAAAAACACCTGGAAGATCAATGTTTCCCCTGCCCTGCTTTCAGGCTTTCTCCTCTTCTGCTGTCGCCCCATTACGCTTTGTCCACTTCCTATATTTCTTGGCCTCCATGTCATCTCCTTTCTTTCATCAGCTTGTACCCTTTCCTGCCCTTTGCAGTCTGTAACATTTTTTTCCCTCAGGGCCAAATGTTTCCCTAACAGATGATGGACTCTGGTTGGCATTGTGATCTGTTGTTAAGTAAGATACACCCTCATGCTCAGATGCTAGAATAGTTGTGAACATCCCTTGGTGTCATTTTAGGTCACCTAATGACTGTAGGAAAAGGAACAGTTTAGGACCAGAGGTGTTTGTCTGTATCCCCCAGTCTTATCACTTTCAAATAGGAGCAGCAATATTTGACTAGAATGTTATCAAAGGAAGGAAGAACACCCATCTGTAGCAAGCGATTCCAAGGCAATACATGTATATCACATCTCACAAATTCCAGAGCCAAATGCTTTCTGTTTTTATTGGCTTCTGTGGAAGTGTAGGCTTTTCTGTTATTCCGGTCTGTGGGTGTGTGTTGTGCTGAACTCTGCAAAGGAATGGATGTTTTACGTGCAAGAGCTTGTACTGTGACATTCTTTGAAGTATTGGGAAAGGTTGCTGAGATGGGAGTTGTTCACACACTATTTGCCATGTCAGTTTCTCACCTCCTGTGAGCCCCAGGCAACATTTGAGCCTCACAACAGTCCTGTGAGGTAGATTATCTTTATGGGTGAGTTGTTGTCAAGTTATTATTTCAGTTTCCCAGCTCCCAAGCTTGAAACCGAATGTGTATTTTTCACTCAGGAACAGATTTTCTGTGGGTCATCCTTCCCTCCCACAGCAAACATCTTCCTGGAAGATTCAGGAGGGTCAGTTTTGCAGAATGTCATATATTACTGGCAGTCAGTAGAAATATCTATCCGTTCAAGTGGTTTCAGATCCTTGTGCATATTTTTGTCTTTTTATGAACTCCTTAGTCATGACAGCAGAGGCAGCTATAGCTTTTCCCAGACTGCGCCTGTCACAGACTCCCTCCGCCTCCTGCCTGCAGTGAGGTAAAACACTTGAGTCTTTTTATTTTCTGGCTACAGAAAGTGAGAAGAAAGAGTGGGAGACAGGGCTAGATAGGGAGCAACAGGGTAAGAAAAATGTAGCTTGCTCCTTTCTTTCCTTCCTTCCTTCCTTCCTTCCTTCCTTCCTTCCTTCCTTCCTTCCTTCCTTCCTTCCTTCCTTCCTTCCTTCCTTCCTTCCCACTAGACAAGCAGACAAATATCTTCAGGTTGCAACCTGGCAACCTTTTATTTGGTTTGGCTTTCTTCTGCGTATCCTCTCACTGCCAGAGCAATTCAGCTTTAAGCAACCTCAGGAATGCCAACCCAAGACCCACCAAGAGCAAAATATATATATAAAAAAACTGTCAAGGTTCTGTAGTCTGTCTGTTGCATCCCAGGAAAGTGGAATAAGGATAGCTGTGCCATGTCAGGTCAGACTTTGAATCAGCATCGTTTCTGTACTCTCAGAGAAACGCCGGGGTTTAAATTTCTATGGAATGATACATCAAAGTTAGGACCTTCCACATTACTATAAGCTCTTTCTCTGAGTTCTTCCCCATGAAGAAGTCTGTTTAGTTCTGTGATCCAAGGCTTGAACCTTGGAGGTGGCATAAGAAGCCTAGCAGATATGCAACATAATGAGAAGTTTGAAATGGGAACAGTGCATGGAAAGACTGAATCTGTATTGTTGACATTGTTTTTTTCTCCCTCCATGATTTTTCTACAGCTCATGCTCCCACCTTACTACCGGTCCAGTGTGACGTGCCGGGTGTCATCCCACTGGCTGCCCTTTTCTCCCTCAACAACTGAAGCATGTGATCAGGAGCACCATGGAGGTGAGTGGTTGGAACCATGGACCAAGCTAAATGTGGCTGGAGATAAGGAGGAGACTCAAATGCCCCCCTTCCCTGAATTTTCTGGTTGTAGCTAACCTTGTCCATTCATCATTTGTCTGAAGGATATTGAAGATAAGTGATTTCTTCCAGATTCTTCTTAGATTGATGTAGAAATATTACTAGATCTCTTATCCAAATTCTCTCTACCCCAATTACTACCAAAATCAGAAGTTCTGATACAGTATACCCTTGGGATCTGCTGATTTTTCCGGGCGCCTTGGGATATCAAAATCTGTGGATGCTTATATATAGCGGTGTCCTTTATAATAAAAGCCATCATCAAGCCCCTTATCCACGGATTCAATATCCATGATTTCACATAACAGCACTTAAAAAAAACACTCCCTTCCCCATCCCAAAAGTGCAGGGCCCCGGTGGTGCAATGAGTTAATCCCTTGTGCCAGCTGAACTGCTGACCAAAAGGTCGGCGATTCGAATCCGGGAAATGGGGTGAGCTCCTGTCTGTCAGCTCTAGCTTCCATGCAGTGACCCGAGCGAAGCCTCCCACAGGATGGTAAAACTTCCAGGTGTTCCCTGACGGCCAATTATCTCACACCAGAAGCAGCTTGCCGTTTCTCAATTCGCTTAAGACAAGAAAAAAAAATCCCAAAAGTGGTTGCGGGCTTCTCCAATACAATTCTTTACCACTCACAGTTTCAGGTCTTGGAATGTGTCCCCAGTGGATACGGAGGGTTGTTTCAATCTGTGGATATAGAATTGTGGATAGAGAGTAGTCAGTGTACGTCACACTCAATCTCAGAGAAAAACAATGGTGAACTTTTGAATAAGTCTTGCCATGAAAACTCTGTTATAGAGTCTCAGAGTCACCACATAATCCTCTTTTATACAGTGACCACTGCTTAAACCCTTTCAGCTTCTCAGTTCATGCCTGTGCTCCCCCTCCCATGAAAATTGTTTAATTATACCCTGAGTTTGGGGGTGGGAGTCAAGCTGAAATAAGAGCAATGAAATTAAGTGACTGCAGAAAAAAGCAAGCAAAGAAAAGAACAGATTGAGCTCATTTTCCATTCTTTATGCGTTTTCATGTAATAGAGCCATGTCACTCCATTATGTTTAGTAAGAGAAAACACTGAAATGTTAGGAAAAACTGAGAGTTCCTCTCTGGCTCAGATTTTACTTTACACGGGGATGTAATTTAGGGGTTTCCAAACTATCTGGACTCTTGGAGACAAGATTTTTACAATTGCACAATTTTCTAATCACAGCACAGGAGAAATTACAGTAGTCTCGCTTATCTGACATAAACAGGCTAGCCGAACGTCGGATAAATGAAAATGTCTGATAATACGGAGTCTCCTGTTACCCATCCAACGTGGTGCTAGACATCTAGAATACCAATAATAAGGAATCAAAGGGTTAAGGCAAGACAACGCCTCAGGGCTAGAGTGGCCCAGCAGGAAGTGCCTGGATCCGGAAGAGGAGTGTGGAAATCACAGAGGGAGAAGGGAGGACGCTTCTGTTTCTGGTCCTGCCTCTTTTCCCCCTTTCCTCCCTCTTCCTCATCCTTGTCTTCCTTTTTTTCACTTACTGGGAATGGAGAGAGAATTGGGGAGCACTCCTTTAATTGAAGGGGAAAGGGGATGTTGGATAAGAGTGTTGGATAAGACGGCATGTAGGAAAAGCGAAGGTTGGATAAGCGAGACTCTACTGTAATTCCAAGAGTGGGTCTGATAACCCTTATGTTCTTCATTTCACATTAAAGGCTCCCTATGCTCTTCCCAAATTTTGCTAATTTTTGGATTTGCCTAGAGGTATTGGTTTTCAAAATTGTTCTGTTTCAAACAAACAGAGCTGGAGTTTTGTTGCTGAGAGGAGGACCGAGTTCACTCAATTCCCCTGAACTTAAAGTTGAACTTTGCCCTCCCAGTAATAATGTTTAGCAACTGCCAGATTACATGAAGATCTATGGAAGAGGAACTCTCCTGGTTGTTACTATTGTAAGAAGAGAAGCTCAACTATCCTGAAATCCCAAAGGAGCCTTTTATGAGGGGAGAAGGGGCCTTTTTGTTTGCTTTGTCTGTAGGTTACTGGTCAGCTCCTGGTTTGCTGACTCCTCTCTGGAAAGTCAATAAGAAGGTTAACATCATGCCCCTTTTTCTCCAGTTGCAACCTGTTATATCACAGTGGTCCGTGTAAAGGGGTGGGAAAAGGTGTAGGCCAGAGGTAGGCAAAATGTGACCAATAGGTTTCATGTATCTTTTTAGAAACATTTTTTTTCAGCTACCAAGGACTTCCATGAGTCAAAAACGTTACGATTTCCACATCAATGTCATTTAGTGGGTGTTGGCATTTTTTCCATGCCCCCTCCCTGCCATCATTTTAGACTTAAAAAGCCTTTTTCTAAAGCAGGAAGTAAGCTGCAACACTTTTAGTCTCTTCTTGACTAAAATGGAATAAAAACCATGATGATAATGCTCCCTGCAACCCTAGAGGGCATTTGAGAATGAAACATTTCATTTATTTATCTATTTATGTATGGATGCATGTACATATTTATTGATTTGCTGGCAGGTGCAGTCTTTAGAGGTTTCTGGAGGGGCTAATATGGCTTCATAACCATATACATTCGCCTACTCCCTGCTAACAACAACAGTAGCAGCAACAACAAAGGGACTCGAGGCAGCTTACTAAGCGGCACAAATAGTGCCATACGACACATAAATACATCAGACATTTATCAAAATAACACTTGCAATATAGCCAATTGCAATATTCACATCTGCCTCAAGCAGACAAGAGTTCTTTCTTCCATCCTGGACAGTCCACAGATATATAAACTTCACTTGCCTTGTTTCCAACGGACCCCTCAACCTCTGAGCATGCCTGCCATAGATGTGGGTGAAACATCAGGAGAGAATGCCCAGAAAACTCACAGCAATCCAGTGATTCTGGCCATGAAAGCCTTCAACAACACAACAATAAGATAATCAATAAAATGAAGCAAATGCTACCAATTAAAAGGGCAATACAACCACATTGAACATCCCAGCCACAAACTAGATTAAGATTTCAATATTAAAGTCATCTGTAGGTCATCTGTTTGAATCATCTAATTAAGCTGGTACCTTAACCATTGTCAAAGGCTTGCCTGAAAAAACATGTTTTCAACTCCCCCCGAAAGCATTGAAGTTTGCTATAAGGGACGATACAATTCCACACTTCTATTTTCACCTTTTCTTTCTTGCAGGGTACAGATTACCAGTTGCCTTCTGCCAGCCCATCTGGGGTGGCCCTTCCTTCCCCCTCCTCCTCCTCCTCCTGCGATGGAGCTGAGACTCTGGCTTTCAATGGAGAGCTGGACCTCCAACGCTACTCCAACGGGCCGGGAGGTCCTGGGAGCGAATCCCGACCTTACCCTTGCCCCATCTGTGGCAAGAGATTCCGCTTCAACAGCATCCTGGCCCTGCACACACGCATCCACACCAGCGCCTACCCTCTCACCTGCCCCTACTGTGGCTTTCGAGCAGGGCAGCGGGCCAGCCTCCGCCTTCACCTCCGTTCGCACTGCCCTGAGGCTCGTGCCCGGCTCAGCCACCAGAGCCGCCTGCTCCTCGAGTTGGAAGAGCGGGCACTTCTGCGGGGGCAAGAGGAAGAGGAGGGGAAAGAAGAGGAGGAGGAAGAGGAAGAGGAGGAAGAAGAGGAGGAAGAAGAGGAGGAGGAGGAGGAGGAGGAAGAGGAACCAGTTGTTCCTGTCCCACCCCCACCCCAGCCCATCTTCCGCTGCCCGTTCTGTAAGGGCAAGTTCCGTACTGCTGCTGAACGCGAGCGCCACCTCCGCATCCTCCACCAGCCGTACAAGTGTGGGCAATGCCCTTTTGCTGCCGCCCAGGAGGCAGAACTACAGTGGCACCACCAGCAGGCCCACAACATCATTGCTGCAAAGCCGCCCACCCCTCCTGCCCCTGTCCGCGCCCCAGCCAAAGCCTCCTCTGCCGCTAAGGCCTCTGCTTCTACCACGCCTTCTGCCTCCGCTCCCAATGAGTTCCGCTGCCAGGTTTGTGGACAAGCCTTCACCCAGTCCTGGTTTCTTAAGGGCCACATGCGGAAGCATAAAGACTCCTTTGACCACAAGTGCCAGGTGTGCGGGCGCGGCTTCAAGGAGCCGTGGTTCCTCAAAAACCATATGAAAGTTCATCTCAGCAAGTTGGGCCTCCAGAGCGAACAAAGAGGGCTGGGGGCCAGCCGGTCAGCACAAAGCTTACTGGTGGGTTGTGAAGCCCTATATCCTTCCCTTCTCTCTCCTCGGCCCACAGACAAAGCTGGTACCAGCAATTTCTTGGGCTACGGTGACGCCAGCTGTGCCGAGCGCCTGCAGGCCACAGCGCGGGCAGTGGAGAGTGGTCAGCAGTGGAGGGAGCGTCCTTATGCATCTGGGTCCAAGCTTGTTAGAGACCCAGGAGGGTCCCATCGCTGTCCGGACTGCAGCCGGACCTTCAGCACATTCCAGCAGATGGCCTTGCATCGTCAAAGCCACATGTCTCAAGAGAGAGAATGGAGCAAGGGACAGTCTCTCGGTTCCCATCTTCTCACAGGACACTGGCTCCCCACTAATGTGAGAAGCTCCACTGCAGCTAATGTCAGCCCATCTCTGCTGACCCAGGAGGAAAAGGGTAAGTATGGACAAGCAGGGCCTTAAAATTGAGACTTCTGCTTTGTTTTTTTTTCTGGGCAAATACAGTGAATTCATATTGGTCTTCATAGAATCATAGAGTTGGAAGAGACCACAAGGGCCATCCAGTTCAGTCTACTACCATATAGGAATATAGAATCGAAGCAATTCTGACAGGTGGCCATATTGTGGTTACATGACACCACAGATACAACTAAATGCCAATGACTTACCTTACTTCCTGTCCCAGCATACAGCAGAGTTGCACTAGAGGACTTGGAGATTCTTAAGTAACCTCTCTGGGAATTTGCTAGATCCTTCAACACTACTTTGTGGTAACTTCCAGGGGAATTGTACTATAGAATCACTTAGGTGCCCTAGCAAATTCCTAGAGAGAGCATTTTTCCTCTCGATGTAGAATCTGGATTTGGGTTCTGTGGTTACTATCTTTTGGACTCTTAATTCTCATATCGCTTACCATTGGTCATGATGACTGGGTTTTAAGAACTAAAGTCCAAAACACTCTCAGGAAGGAGAGATTGCAAACATTCCATAGTCTTTTAAAAATATGTCTGGTTGTGCATTTTCTTATACTCTTTTGCTATCTAAGAAAAAAAGCTACCAAATCTGTCCACCTGTATGTGTCTTAAATCAGCCTATTTTGCAATAATGTACTACTTTGATCTGATCTTGAGAAGGAGTTTGGTGCAACCCAAATGCATACACTCAACATTTATGATATTAATTGGACTATTAATTGGATATTCAAGTATGAAAATGTATTCTATAATTATTAAGAGCCTTTAGTGTTGGATTAACACCTCGAGAGATCAAGGTCCAAATCCCCACTTAACAGTGGAAAGCCACTAGGTGACCTAGGGCAGGTCACACTGTCCCAGCCTCAGAGGAAGGAAGGCAAGGCCAAACACCCTTTGTTCAAATTCTGCCAAGAAACCCTGGCTGGATCTACACTGGCCTATATCCTAGGATCTGATCCCAGATTATGCTTTGAACTGGATTATATGAATCCTCACTGCCAGATAATCTGGGATAAGCATATAATCTGGGATCAGATCCTGGAATATAGAGCAGTGTAGAAGGGGCCCCTGTGACAGGTTCACCTTAGCATCACCATAGGTTAGGCATAAAGTCACACAACAACACAAAAATGGTCTCACTTAGAAATAGAAAAAGCTGACTACATGTATTTGAACAAATGCTACGTTATTTTAGGCACATACCTACAGAACAAATATATCAGTTACATATGTTCTTAATGTTCTAGCTTGAGGCTTTGGCGAGGTAATCACAAAATAAACACCTTCACAGAGCCATTAAGAGTAGCTATTCTTGCTTAAAGAAAATGACTGTCTAATTAAATTTGTGTGGTAAAAACCCACTCATTTTCACATTTAGCATATTGTTTAGCTCTGAAAACTGAAAGCTATAAAATGTGAATCATACATTACCTCATCAAGATGCGGTGATTTGACTGTGTCATTCTGATGCATGGCAGATGTGTTGTTTCATTGTGCCCTCAGGTGGTGAAAGCTGAGAATTTTCCATACTAGATGATACACTACAATTTGAAGTCACGGGCAGTCTCCCAGTTACAAACATCAGATTTACATTGGACTCCTAGTTAGAAACAGGAAGTGAGAGGAAATCTACTCCTAGGAAGGGAAATCCACTCCTGTAAAAGTTGTCATGGGAAAAAAGGTGTCTCCACTGAAGTTTTATCACCATTCTTGTTTCCACGACAAGTCAAATTTTTCAAAATCTAATTATCACAGGGACAGAAAGTGAGGTTACACCTTCTGAACAGGGGCACAGGCAGTAAAAGAAGTGTCACAGGGTTGTTAACCCTTCCCTATGCTATCCAAAACTTAATAATTACCTCTTCTGACTTACATACAAATTCACCTTAAGAACAAACCTGCAGAACCTTGTTCGTAACCTGGGGACTGCCTGTATTTAGCCACTGGAAAAATGTGCACTTGGGTGGTGTAGTGGTTTGAGCATTGGACTATAATTTGGGAGACTGGGGGTTTTAATCCCCACAGAGCTAAAGAAACTTACTCAGGGCCCGTCCAGACAGTACCTTTATCCCAGAAGCTTCCGCAGCAAACAGAAGGGTGGCCAGATGCCATTCCCTCAAAACGTGGGAGGAAGCACTACAAAAGGCAAAAAATGCAAGATTTTCAGGTGTGAGAATATCCTGGTTCTGCGTTGTAAATCCGCATCTTTGAATGTCTGTATGTCGCCACAATCGGAAATCTTGGAATTTTTAAATTTATGTTTGTTCCCAGGTTTTAGATGTTTTTCCTGATTGCTTGGTTCTCAAAAAAGGAGGTGACAGTTGCGTAGAATGCGAAACATTGTTTTTGTGCCAGAAACTTCATGAAATATGTGGAGAGCAAATTTCAAGACAAAGTTGTGGCCTCCTAGTCAACGTTGTACATCTTTTCACAATAAGAGGAATAAGGAACAGACATGTCTTACCCAGGAACAACACCCTGTCTACTCAGATGGCTCTGCAGCTTATATAACCAAGGAATGCAATTTTAAATAATGATTTGCATCTTAAGTTTAAAAAAACTCCTGCAGCAACCATCTTGGGAGCCTCTAAATCCCGCAACGATAAAGCAAGTGTGGATGATGAAGGGAGAAATCCTGAGAGCAACAGTTCTATATGTAGATCTCTTCTGAAGACCCAGGATATTTATTTATTTTTTTGCCCCTGACTAAAATCCGTGATTTGGTGTTGTTTGGAAGCACCCTCAGTGACCTTGGGCAGGCCACACACCCTCCGCTTTGATAGATGGCAAAGGCAAATCCACTCTGAACAAATCTTGCCAAGAAAACCTCATGATAGCTTTGCCTTAAGGTTGCCATAAGTTGGGGAGAACTTAAAGGCACACAAGACTTGTGAAAAATTTAGGCCTTTCAGTTGGTTTTAATTCAAACACACACAATTACCACTAACCCTGCAAGCTGAGGCTGATGCTAACCTGGGGGGGGGGGGGGCAAGTTTCCATAGTCCTGGAAACAGAACAGATGTGGGGAAGAGGGAAGCATGATTGCACCTATTCTTCCCTCTGCTGCTATTTTTGCCCCTTGTTCAGAATATAAAAGGCAATATTCTGAATAAGAGCACTGGATAATTTGCAGTAGATTGATAATAGTTTCAACTCCTCAAAAGCAATAATGAAAGTTTTCTGTATTCTTAAAATAGGCTGCTTAGACTACAAAACCCTGAGAGAAAATTTGGATTGGCATTGTCTGCAAAAGAATGGTGCACTCAGTTCTGAGAACAAATGTCTTGGCTGAGCGTATACTCGGAGGCGGCTTTACCCTTAATTCAAAGTGTAGCTCTGTCATGCTGTGTCATGATAGCAAGCCACTGTTTTGCATCCACTCTGGTTGTTGGGAATTCTAAAAACAGCAAAGTAAATCTGGGAAGCTAGTATAGACATTACCTTTATAATCATTTTGCACTGAGTCGTTTCTTCTTCCATAATGCTGCACTGCTGAGGTGCCAAATTATGCACACAACTCACATAACAAGCATCAAAAAGGAATGAGAACAAAATATGACAGTACAGTCCAATATTAATATATAACAAAAATATATTCTCCCACCAGTTAAACCTATCTTTAGAGATTCCTATAATAGCCAAGTCTGTTGTTGCATATTATCCTTCTCATATTTCCATCTCCCAGACCATGAAAAGCACAGCCATTTTCCTATAATTTCACTACATATCATTTTCCTTTTCTAAGCTTGGATGAACAATAGCTGTGATTTTCATAACAAGCATTGTATATTCTCTTTCCCGAAGCCATTCTTCTGACAATAGTGCTTTTATTTTATTTCCAGTTAAGAGCAGCCATCATTCCTGCAGCTGTTCTGTCGGGTTCTCTCTCTCAAGACATCTGTCTTTGGGGCATACATGTAAATCTAGATGTAGCTGTTTCTAAAGGAGGTTCCTCGTGCTAATATGAGGAGGTGGAACACCTATGTGTCTACATCCTGGGGAACCTTTTGCAACTATAACTTCTTAAATACGCAACCAGCATGCTCAGCAACAATGATAGCTGGGGCTTCTCAGAGATGTAGTACAAAAAGATTTCTAAGTTCTGATGTACCTTCCGAGTAGCGATTTTTCCATCTCCCAAGGCTTTTAGATGGGACAATGCTGACAGAAAATAATATCAAGGCCAAACAGGGAAATCAAAGAAATCTTAGAATTGTCTTATTTCAAACCCCTTCCCTCATTGATGTATCTTTTCCAGACATGCAGGGGCAGTCACGCCTGGATGGATCCCGCCGAGGCACTGGGAAAGACTGTCCATTCTGTGGAAAGTCCTTTAGATCCTCCCACCATCTCAAGGTGCACCTCCGTGTCCACACAGGTAAGAACAGAAGTTGCTTGTAGCAGGCAGGATTTTACCAAATAGTTGTGGAGTGTTTCATATAGGTCAGCGTTTCTCAATGTGGAGGTAGGGATCCCTGGGGAAGTCACGAGGGGGTTTCAGAGGGATCGCCAAGACCATCAGAAAACATATATTTCTGATGGTCTTAGGAACCTTTTTGGCAGAGAAGGCTGAAGATCTCTCCATCTGTTTTCTGTTCCTTTTTGGAAACAGACGGCGAATCCTCCCACCAAAAGCCCTCCTCCACTGTGATTGGCCAGCCTCTCAGACAAGGGGAGGGCTGTTTCTGAGACTCCAAGTGGGGAGGAGAGAGTAGGCGTGCTTGGTGCATGGCAGCGTGGTGCGCATGTGCAAGCGAGGAAGAGCATGCGAGGTTGGAGGAAGGCTCATGCCAGCAAGTCCCTTCAAGGCATGGGGGCTCTGTGTGGGAAGTTTGGCCCAATTCTATTGTTGGTGGGTTTCAGAATGCTCTTTGCTTGTAGGTGAACTATAAATCCCAGCAACTACAATTTCCAAATGTCAAGATCTATTTCCCCCAAATCCCACAAGTGTTCACATTTGGGAATATTGAGTATTTGTGCCAAGTTTGGTCCAGATCTCTCATTGTTTGAGTCCACAGTGCTCTCTGGATGTAGGTGAAGTACAACTCCAAAACTTGAAATCAATGCCCACCAAACCTTTCCAGTATTTTCTGTCATGGGAGGTCTATGTGGCAAGTTTGGCTCAATTCCATCATTGGTGGAGCTCAGAATGCTCTTTGATTGTAGGTTAACCATAAATCCCACCAACTACAATGCCCAAATGACTAAATCAACCCCCCAGAGTTCAGATATTTGTTCCAAATTTGGTCCAGTGAATGAAAATACACCCTGCATATCAGATATTTACATTATGATTCATAACAGTAGCAAAATTACAATTATGAAGCAGCAACAAAAATAATGTTATGGTTGGGGGGGTCACCACAACATAAGGAACTGTATTAAGGGGTTGCAGCATTAGGAAGGTTGAAAAACACTGATATAGATGGCTGATTCCTTAAAGTTTATTAGCACATATTGGGTGATATTTGCCATATATTCACATACCAGAAAGAATGCGACTTCATTCATATCGCTCAGGCAGCTTAATGAGTCATGCTAGTACCATCTTAACACTCTGGGCTATTGTTCAAGGCCCCACAAGAATGCCATGTAAATCTATACGCAGACCAGAATTTAACTCTAATTTTCCAATCACCCATCTCAACATTAAAATCTCTTGTCAACTCGGTAGAAGGAGAAAAACTACAACTCATGGCAGAGAGCTGGCATGTCTGCATTTGTGAGAGAAATGTTGCAGTTTTTATTGCTTGCGGTGTTATGGAAACAGAATATTGTAACAGATTTGTGGGAAGCAATTAATGGCTGGGGACAACAGTTCCTAACAGTGTACTTTTCCATTATTGGAAGCAGAGCCCTCAGTGTTTGTGCACCAAGAATTCTTTTTGTATGATGAAGGGTTAGAAGACATGTAAGAAAGTAGAAGATAAGACAATAGGATTTTCAGAAAAATAATCTATTTAGGATAAAACAATGTTAACAGAAAACAAAGTTATTACAAAAGTTTACAAGAAACTACTTGAGTGGTCGACAAAAACAGAACAAACGAAAGATTGCATGATTACACGGGCAGCCAAAATTAGGCATACAATTAAACTTGAAGATTGGGAAATAATTTGGAATAATAAATTGAAGTATACATATACTTATGATTTGAAAGAAAACTGACACAAAATGATGTACCAATGGTGCATAACTCCCAAAAAGTTGGCAAAGTATTATGAAAACACACAGGATAAATGCTGGAAATGCGAAGCCCATGTAGACACTTTTCATCATTTGTAGTGGACCTGCAAAGTAGCAAGAAATTACTGGAAGGAAATACAAGAAAGAATCCAGAAAATACTTAAGATTTAAATACAAATGAAACCAGAATACTTCTTAATGGGCACAACAGATATGGATCTAGATAAAAATAAAGACATACTTTTTGAATATTTAGTTACAGCTGCTAGAATAACTTATGCATGAACTTGGAGAATGAAAGAAGTACCATCAATATATATAGCAAATTGTACAAATGTCAGAATAGGAGCATATACATTTAAGTATTAAAAAATCCTGCTTCCCCTCTTATTGAAGTACAATCAATAGATCAATGGATTCTGAAAATAGCAGAAATAATAAATATAGAATCATAGAGTTGGAAGAGACCTTGTGGGCCATCCAGGCTAACCCCCTGCCAAGAAGCAGGAAAATTGGGTTGTTGTCATTTTTTAGGCTGTATGGCCATGTTCTGATGTTTTGCCTACATCTATAGATGCCTGTCATAGATGGAGGCGAAACGTCAGTAGAGAATCCTGCTAGAACATGGCCATACAGCGCGAGAGAATGCCATTAGCTATTAAATTAACATGAAATACTAATCAAAGTGGCTAATTTCAACATTCACCTCTACCTCAAACAGACAAGAGTTCTCTCTCCCACCCTGGACATTCCACAGATATATAAACCCCATTTTCCTGGTTTCCAACAGACCTCAGAACCTCTGAGGATGCCTGCCATACATGTGGGTGAAACGTCAGGAGAGAATGCTTCTGGAAAATGGCCATACAGCCTGGAAAACTCAAAACAACCAGTGATTTTGGCCATGAAAGCCTTTGGCTATAATGCTGTTAAGATGGCCCTGAGTCTTGCAGTTGTAATTTCATGTAGCTTCAGTTGAGTTTTTGGCAAATCTCTATAGTCCTCCTCTTTCTATAGTCCAGATTTCCGTAGTCCTCATTTTAGCCAATGGCAAACTGACACTGGCTTGTGCATCTGCCTTACTAGTTTGTCTCTTCCCTTCTCTTTTATTTCCCTTGCAGGAGAGCGCCCATATAAATGCCCACACTGTGACTATGCTGGCACCCAATCTGGTTCTCTGAAGTACCACATGCAGCGCCACCACCGAGAGCAGAAGAGTGCGGCTGCTGCAGCAGCGGCGGCGGCAGCAGCGGCGGCAGCTGCAGGAACACTGGAACGGTGCCACATCCCCCTCACTCCCACTGCAGTCCCTTCTTTTTCCCCTACGCAGCTCCCCAAGGACCATGATCCTTTCCTATCTCTGGGGGGCTTGGGTGCAGCTCGGTCCCGTCCATCCCGCCGCAAGTCGTTGCTCAATGGAAAGGCCGATTTCCAACCCTTGGACCTGTCGCTGCGCCCAACCCTGGCAGGAGGATCCCTCCACCGCTGCCAGTTCTGCCCCTTTGCCACCTCAGCTCCTGAGCTCATGGAGCTGCACCTTCAGGTCCACCACAGTCGGAAAGCCCGTACCCGCCGCTGCTCTCATACGGCCCCTAAACCCCGGGCTATGGCAGAGGATGAGATGTTTGATACCCAGAGTCCCCAGCAGAAAGGTCTTGAGTCCCTCAGTCCAGAAGAGGAGAGCACCAAACCCCAGACCTTCTGGCATTCAGAAGAACAAGGAGACTCTCCCAGGCCTGATATGCCTCGAGGGAAGCAGACTCCCAATGAAGCAAGTTCTCCTGGAATGCCACCAGCGCAGCATAGCTGGGAGACCATGTCACAAAACTCCGAGGAGCCAAGACCCGAGGAGGAATTGTCTGACCCTGTGGTCCAAAAGGGACCGCACCAGGAAACATCTAAGACAGGCCAAGGCCTTATGGAATTGCAGTTGGAGCCAGTACAGGCTTGAGTATGTCTACTCTGCATATATAAACCAGTTTCGAACCTGTTTAACTGTCATGACAACTCCCATCCAAGGGACCTTGGGAACAGTAGCATTTTCTACGATATGGCACTCTTTTACAACCAGTTCTTCAGAGCCCTAACAAAACTACGATTCCCAGGGTAAGGGCCTTGGAGAGCCTATAGTTTAGTGGTAGAGCACATGCTTTGCATGCATTAATGTTCCAGGTTTAATGCTTTGTACCTCTAGCTAAAAGAGAACAGGTCTCAGAGAGTCCACTACTGGTGGATGGACATATCCTGTCAATACAGACAGACTGGGGCTAGGTGGCTCAAGAAAAGTTTTGAAAGAAAGTTAAACCAGTTTCAGATCTGTGAATATTTGTAGCATATGTGCAGTGATCAGGAGAGGCAGCTCATCAGATGCCTTCCAGAGTGTCATGCATCCCTCTGTGAGAGGCGTTGAGGTAGAAGGTGGTGGGGTTGTTGTTGAAACAGGTTCCTGTCTTAAACAGCAAGGCAGAAATCCAAAGGTACTGGTGTTGTCTGACATGCATCTGTTAGCAGCATAGAAACCCTACCTGGAAAAGAAAAAAAGTGCCAACCCTGGGTGATATAAGAGAAGCTGGGGTATGGAACCGGGCTGTGATGCTGTAGCAATCCTTTGATTTATTATTTTTTTTAGTCAAACAGGGTTTGGGGGTGATGCGATTGGGTACATTGGATTCCGACCCCTTGTTTTCTTCTCAGTCCTGGGCTTGATGCTGCTCCCTTTTTGGTGCCGTTGTCCAATCTTGCTGTTGGCATAAGTGATGCCCTCCCTGTGGGCGACAACTTCTGGGGCACACCTTGAAAACGTTTTGTATGCGAGGAACATTTCTGCAGGTGCATCTTTTCCCTCCATATTGCTGCTACGGTAGGAGAAGCTGAACCCTTCGGAGTCTTCCTGGACCAATTCCTAACAACCCAGGAGCCGTGTTCCCTATTCAGCCTGTTTTTTTTCCCTATCAAGTGCCACGGAGGCAGCGCCAAGCACACCAGGCCCGAGGGGACTTCAAGTACCTACGATGGGGACTTCAAGTACCTACAAATGGGGCCTTGACTCCATAGTAACCGCGTGCCGCAGTCTCTTGTGTGCGTAGCAAGCGGCCCAGTGCCAGTATCTTTTCTCTTTGTAGTGATCCAGCGACAGAGCTTTGTTTCTGTAGTGACCTGGCATGTCAGGGAGCTTGACGACTTCTAGAGTTTTCTATTTTTTTATTGTTTTCTTGTAGAAAAAAAAATTGAAACTGGAAATAAAAATAAGACGAGAAATGATCTTTATGCGTGATTCAATGTTTGTTTGAGTGTGCATCTTAAATATCCTTTAAGCATCCCCTTTCAACAGATTGTCTGACAAGAGGTTGGAAGCTGCTTGAAAATGCCTCCCCTTCAACCTGGAGGTTTCTACAGAGTGCTTGAGAATCGCAAATGAAGAGTGAGGTGAAGCACTGAGTTTATCTGAGCCATAAGTTTTTGTGCTTTTTAGCCTTCCTCACTTCAACTTGGATTGCTGTTCCTTTTATTATTCCCCATCCTGCCTGAATACACTGTGGTTCCCAACCTTTGGGCCTCCCAAGTGTTTTGGACTTCGGCTCCCACAGTTCCTAACAGCTAAGATTTCTGGGAGTTGAAATCTAAAACACCTGGAGGCCCAAAAGTGGGGAACCACTGGACTACACAATGCATTTCAGTGCACATTTCTGAATGTTAGTACCACTTGCCCTTGGTATTCACTGGGATTTGGTCCCAGACTTCTCATGGATACCAAAATCCCTGGATGCGCAAGTCTCATTATATATAATGGAGTGAGAGCCCCCACTGACGCATTGGGTTAAACCGCTGAGATGCTGAACTTGCTAACAGAAAGGTTGCCGGTTCAAATCGGGGGAATGGGGTGAGCTCCCACTGTTAGCCCCAGCTTTTGCCAACATAACAGTTCGAAAACATGCAAATGTGAGTAGATCAATAGGTACTGCTTTGGTGGAAAGGTAATGGCATTCCATGCAGTCATGCTGGCCACATGACCTTGGAGGTGTCTACAACAACGCCGGTGCTTCAGCTTAGAAATGCAGATGAGCACCAACCCCCCAAAGTTGGACACAACTAGACTTAATGTCAGGGGAAAAGCTTTACCTAGTAAAATCACGTATCTTCTATATCAATACCAAGATTTGCTGTTTGGATGTTTAAAAATGGATTCAGGATACAGAAGTCATGGATACGAAGGGGCGACTATGTATTTTCAGTATCCTATAGTGGGTGGTAACAGCACTCCATGCAGTCATGCTGGCCACGACCTTGGAGGTGTCTACGGACAACGCCAGCTCTTCGGCTTAGAAATTGAGATGAGCACCACCCCCCAGAGTCGGACACAACTGGACTTAATGTCAAGGGAAAACCTTTACCTTTACCTAGAGTAGGTGGAAGCCATAGAGTACATCTACAATTGAATTAGTACAGTTTGACACCACTTTTACTGCCATGGTTCAGTGCTATGGAGTTTTGGGAGTTGTAGTTTCACAAAGTTTTTAGTTTGTTCCACCAAAGTGCTGGTACCTTGTCAAACTACAACTCCCAGGACTTCATAGCATTGAGCCCATGCAGAAATGCTTAATATTTCTTAAGCTAAGCCTTTGCAAAACTCATATTCATCTGCTATAGGTTACTGTAATTCCCTAATTTTAAACATGTAATGGATTAGCATGATTTCATAACTGGCATAGATGGGAAACCTAATCTGGATAGGCAAGATTTCTGGCAGTGGCGAAAAAAATAGTTAAGTTGGCAAGCTGACAAAATTCTCATGGGACAGAACATTCAATGATAAGCCGGAAAAGGAATTTCTAACATAGCTTTAATTCATTCCCTAAAATGTGATAGCCTTCCTTTCATATGCTCAAGGTGTCATGAAAAGAGGTAAAAACAAACCAGTACGAACAGCAGAATGAAGAATACTAAGCAAGCAAAGCATCCCAAGTTGAAGGCCAAGAGATGAGTTTTATACAACACGGGAAGCTTGATAGCAAGACAAAAACACAGAGAAAACATCACTTCTTAATTTCTTCACATCATTCCCAAAGCTGTCCATACTCCATCATTGCCTCAGATTTTGTTTGGTCATGGAAGCTAAGCAGGGTCAGCATTCGGGTGGGAGACTGGCAATGAAAACCTTCAGAGGAAGGAATTGGAAAACCACATCTGAGAAACCCTTGCCCCAGAAAACTATACAATTCATGGGGTCACTATAGTTAGCCAGGCAATTAACATAGTCATGTCTCTGAATACTGAAAAATGCATGTGAGTTCAAATTTCGCCAAGTACCATTTTAGTCCTGATCGATCCCAAAACAGACAATCTCATAAAAATATTACCAAGTCCTTGACATGCACTCTGCTCCTGATCTGTTATTTTCCTAACAAGTTTCAATAGTGCTTATGGCTATGTGATTCTTGTATTATGCTTACATAAGAATATACAGTAGACTCTCACTTATTCAACATAAATGGGCCGGCAGAACATTGGATAAGCAAAAATGTTGGATAATAAGGAGGGATTAAGGAAAATCCTATTGAACGTCAAGTTAAGTTATGTTTTTACAAATTAAGCACCAAAACATCATGTTTTACAATAAATCAACAGAAAAAACAGTTTAATACATGGTAACATTATGTGGTAATTACTGTATTTATGAATTTAGCATCAAAACATTGCAATGTATTGAAACAGCTGTGGATCTGGGTGGGAGGCAGACTGTGTTGGATAATACAGAACGTTGGATGAGCAAAAGTTGGATAAGTGAGACTACTGTACTCCATATAATACAATCATTCTTCTTCAATAAACACATTGAACATGGCATTGCATGTTGTATGTGTATGTGTTTTCAAATACACCTGTCGAATTATAGCGACACCATTTAATTCCTAGGGTTTTTTAAAGGAATGAACACTTAGAGGTTGTTTTGCCGGTTCCTTCCTCTAAAATACACCCTGGTATTCACTGGTGGACTCCCATCCAAGTATTAGTTGGAGCTCACCTTGCTTAGCTTTCTAGTTCGGACAGAATCTGGACTGAATAGTGGGGCAGAAGGTTAAAGAGCTGAGCTGCTGAACTTGCTGACCGACAGGTCACAGGTTTGAATCTGGGGAGTGGGGTGAGCTCCTGCTGTTAGCCTCAGCTTCTGCCAACGTAGCAGTTCGAAAACATGCAAATGTGAGTAGATCAATAGGTACCACTCCAGCGGGAAGGTAATGGGGCTCCATACAGTCATGCTGGACACATGACCTTGGAGGTGTCTATGGACAACGCCGGCTCTTTGGCTTAGAAATTGAGTTGAGCACCAACTCCCAGATTTGGACACGACTGGACTTAATGTCAGGGGAAAACCTTTACCTAAACCTTTACCTGAATCCAGGAGTCTTTTGATTTCAGTAGACAAATGGCAGTGGGATATACTTAAGCCTTCAATAATGCAAGCTTTGTTCTATGCACAAAATTAATAAAATTTGTATAAAATTATTTTGGAAGGCTATGTGTAGACTAAGGTGTATGTGAAATATAAATGACTCTCATGCATAGATTTGGGTCTCGATTCCAAGATTATGCATGTATATGTAAGTACAGATATTCCAACCCACCAAAGAAATGTCCAAAATCCAAAACACTTGTCCCAAGCTTGTTCTAATATTATTCAGGGGGATAACTCACCTTCAGTCTATGCAAGGGACAATGCAATATTTATTTATTTTTCTCATTTGATGATAAATCTGGAAGGAAAAAGAAATATATATATATGCCTGACTATAGTATCAGGGCAAGCAAAACAAAAAGCAAAGGATGATGTTAACATGAGATGAAATCAATGCTGGAATGCAACTGATTGTGTTTGCCGCCCATCTGAAAGCCATCTCTTCTCTTTTGTGAGATGTAATATGGCCCCTTTCAGCACCTTTTACAGCTCTGATAGCAGGCAACTCTCCATAACAATAGCTTGAGAGCCAGGTGATATAAAAAAAATCCGTGGGCCATCCTTTCCTTTCAACAATTCTCTGGAACCAAATAGAAACTCAGTATGGTTGGAGGAAATGCAAAGGCCCATGTTGCTTGCAGTTGGGGTGGGGCAATGACAAAGGAAATAAGATAAAGCCAGCTGGAGAGAAGGAGGGTCCCACCAGGTCCCACCAGGTAAGCTCAGAAGAGGTGGCCAAAAGGTGGAGTTCTCAGCAAGAGGTGGTCTAGTTGTTTCCTCTGTGCAACCAGATACCTTCAAGATGTGCATGTTTGGATATAACATGGGGACATACTAGATCTCTTCTCAAGGTAGGGCAAAGCAAGGGGTGTTGAATATAGCCCAAGTGTGTTGGGTTGCTGGCCCAATTTATATCATTTTCTATCCAGGTTGTGGGGTGGGGAGAAGTGGGGGGAAAAAAGGAGATATTTGAAATCTGTATTGTTGAAAAATTGCATGGCTGGAATCACTGGCTTGCTGTGAGTTTTCTGGGCTGGATGGTCATGAGTTTTCTAGGCTGATAGCATTCTCTCCTGAGGTTTCACCCACATCTATGGCAGGCATCCTCAGATGTTGAAGGGCCTGTTGGAAACTAGGCAAGTAAGGTTTATATATCTGCAGAATGTCCAGGATGGGAGAAAGAACTCTTGTCTGCTTGAGGCAGATATGAATGTAGTAATTGGCTACCTGAGGATGCCTGCCATAGATGTGGGTGAAACGTCAAGAGAGAATGCTTCTGGAACGTGGCCATCCAGCCCAGAAAGCTCACAGCAAGCCTACTTGAAATCTGTTAAATATTTTCTTGCCTCTCCTTTGTAGAGGAACAATGAGTTTGGCACTGCTCTTAATCATTCATAGAATAAGATTTGGAAAAAATATTTGCAAAGTTTCCATAAGTTGGTTTGCAGACAGAGACTAAGCTAAGAGTTATAGCCTGGAAAAGAAAGGGTTCTTTTTCACTCATCTACTCACAGAGGAATGTTGTAAAGTGGGAGCAAAGCACATCTGTTGCAGCAAATGAAAGATCTAAAACAAATAAGATGTCCCAGTCAGATTAATTTTTGTTATTTTTCAACCAAAATATACTCTATCCAAATGCATACTAATAGTAATCCAATCCATTCCTGTTTTTTTTTTTAATGGGAGAAAAAAAATCATTGCAAACAAAAAAGAGCTAATATGGCCAAATGAGGCCATATTAAAGCATACACAATAATAATAATAATAATAATAATAATAACAACAACAACAACTACAACAATAACAA